AATGACTCGTTGATATGTATCCACATGATGTGTGTGTGTGTTCGTTTTTGACAGTCTATTATATTTTGCTATGTGTATATGGATCGATATTCCATTATAACTGACAATATGCTTTTGTCTGTCCAATAACTAAATAAACAATGTATGACCTTGTTATCACATGACATTACAACCAATCATGGTAAGATGTTATCTTATTGGTTCATGTGTATTAGTCATTTTCATATATACTCTTGCTTTATTATTACATTTGTTCATTCTTGTTCCCACATTTCGTACATCTAAGTACCCTTCCACTCACACACTAGTATGACATTTATTTTCCTTGTCTGGAAAATACAAGTATCATGGTAAACCTGGTGGTCTTCTGATTTCCCTCTCTCCGCGTCAGGACTATCAACTACTCGACGAGTACATAACATAATTGGCGACGGGGAAAACTCTAATAACTCACTCAACAGGAGTACATAACACTCATATCTCTTGACTTTTAACATTTTCCAAGATATACTTCAAAATCTATCAATGGACAGTCTTGTAGATCGCCTCTAAGATGATATTTGTCAGGTATGAAGACGTTCAGACACTGAAAACATCAGAAGGAAGTATTTCTCAGGAGACAGTTAATGTTTTAAACATCATCCTCAGTAGAGTGGTAAATGATTAGATCTCTTTAGATCTCCTGAATAACAAGAACAGTAAGGCATGTCTTAGGCTTTTATAGATTTTTATGCGTCGGTAGTTCTATGGTTCAATGTTTGCCAACCTTGATTATTGTCCAAAGGTTCGATTCATAGCAGCCACACTTAAACCATACCCATTTTTCTAGCCTATAGTAAGTCTGGTCTGTCTGTCTGTTTTCAACGTAGAACTTTGTGCCGATGTGTGGCGGTTCAAGTCGCCCCTCTCCCTGCTTGTAGCACACAAAACAAGCGAAGAAAGTAGAAGAAATCCATAATAGAGACAGTAAACAGAGGTGTGAGACAAAGGAATAGTAATAACGAAGAACAATATAGTTTCGTTGGAAATCATAAGTCACAAGGAGTGGATGCATGTGCGCCAGCCATTGAGAATGATTTTTAGCCATATCATCAGTTGTTTCCAGCCTACATTGGAAGTTTACACCTTCCTATGTGTCTGGCTGGCTTAAACTAACTGTTGTGGATTTCATTGACTGACGAAGCCATGTTTTGGTTTGACCGCCGGTAGCTGGCTCTTTTCCAGCCCGAACCTATGTCAGCTAACATTGCCCATTGTCGAGGAAGGCGATGGATAAGAATGCCTATGTAACACATATCCTAACCATCTCAATCGGTGTAACTTCACGGCCTCGTCTATTGATTTCCCCTCCTTACCTAGCACCGACGCCTAACCTCAATATTGCTCACCGTATTATACCACTTCACACGGGAGATAGAACGCAGGTACCTATGATGAAAGACAGTTAGCTAGCTAGCTAGCCTTTTCATGTCTTCCATTCTCAATGGCCAGGGCTTACAGACAGTCATAAAGGAGGACGGAGTGGACTACAGAGCAGTACACCCGCCCTTTGATCGACAGCCAGCCGGATATCACGTCTACTAAGCCAGAGATGGCGTAAACTAGCATATGCGAAACTGAATAGCAAGTCTGGGAAAATGGAGTGTTTGGTGTGTGTATATGGGAGGGGAGGGGCTAGAGGTCATAGTCTGTAGAAATAACACTACTACCACTACACTGGAACTTTAAAGCTGAACCTTGATGCCCCATGTCCCATTAGGAAATCAAAGGATAAATCAAGGGATAAAATTTCATTTCTCTAACATTCCTATAACTGCTGTTAGTTCACGTTAAAGTCTTTTTTGAATTTGATCAGTTGCGTGTAAAACTTATCAACTCAATCATTAGCTCAAAAAACTGAATTCCCAGTGTGGTGAGAGCAGGCTGCTAGCCGATTGGTTGGCACTAATCTACGTTAAGGTCTAGATCACTAATATGGGCCGTGAGAAAATATGAACAAGGCCGAGTCAACAACCAATCACAGCAAAGTTAACGTGGCAAAATATGATTCGCAGATAGAGAACTCTATTTGTCAAGGAATCCCGAAACAACCAATCAGAAGCCTGCGTTTGTCTACCTAACTTCTGATAAACAACCAATCAGATGACTGCGCTTGTCTATAATAATGTAGTTGAAAGATGTATAAATACGTGTTGATTTTCATAATAAAACGATCTGTTGCCTGGCCCTTGTCTTCTGTTGTTACATTTGGTGTCGCTGCCTACCGACAAATGAAAAGCCTATACCCTGCAGTTTTTGATGGAGACATATGGATCTTCGGGCAGGACTTCAAGGCTTCTGCGCAGTTGAGTGGCGTTCAAGATCTGTCAGCGATGGAGCTGCTACTTGAGACGCTGCTGGGAGGTCGGGCGAAAGCAGCATATGAAGGTGTGGGCCGAAGTATGGACGAATGTTCGACAGGGTCAGGCAAACAGTTTCCAAAGTGGGAAGGACCATATAGGGTCACTTCGAGATGGGGTTACGCAGACACAGTCGCAATGGCGAACAATGAGAGGCGCGTGAACGTCAGCGAGCTCCAGAAATGGATACAGCGAGACAAGCCAACGATGACGCCTGCACCAAGTAGATCAAGCCGACTTCAGTCGCACGTATTTGACGGGGGGACGAGTGTGGTGAGAGCAGGCTGCTAGCCGATTGGTTGGCACTAATCTACGTTAAGGTCTAGATCACTAATATGGGCCGTGAGAAAATATGAACAAGGCCGAGTCAACAACCAATCACAGCAAAGTTAACGTGGCAAAATATGATTCGCAGATAGAGAACTCTATTTGTCAAGGAATCCCGAAACAACCAATCAGAAGCCTGCGTTTGTCTACCTAACTTCTGATAAACAACCAATCAGATGACTGCGCTTTTCTATAATAATGTAGTTGAAAGATGTATAAATACGTGTTGATTTTCATAATAAAACGATCTGTTGCCTGGCCCTTGTCTTCTGTTGTTACACCAGCACAAACTGAAATCTTCCTAAGTTACCTACCTAATGAATAATCTAAGGTTAACTGCTGTAAGTATATGTACAAACACTGAGGGATACAATGCATCTGAAAGAATTGCCCAACTGTGTATCATTTGGTTGATACTGTCACTACCAGTAAAAACCAAGACTCATATTCCCTTCCATTTTGGCACTTGTCAACTGAGTGCACGTGAAACCCTCAGTAAGTAATAGATAGTGTTCCCACACTAGCGAAATGAGTATGATTTAAACAATTATGAATTTGGGTTTGATCACATAATGATATTAGTTAGAGAAACACTGAAGACGAGGGTGTAGGTGACAGTTGTTTTGTCCCTGTTTTGAACACTCTTCAACAGGAATCAAACTCAGAAGATTATGAGGATTATGAGCTCGTTGACCACTTAGCACCTAGGACACTACCCAATAACCCATGAATTCGCGTATTTTAGTACCACAGTTAACCAGTGTCATCGGTGAGCATTTGTCTTCACATCTGTCCTGGTGGACCCGACTGATCATGACTTAATCACTAGAACACCAGATGTCCAGTACTCCTCAGTTTCCACGAAATCTAAAACTGATATCAGCTGATATTTAAGACGAAACCTAGAACCTATTAAATCGCTTGAAAAGTTGAAACTTGAAAATTATGAAATTTATTAGACGGGGGGGGGGAGGAAAACCAATGTCTAAATTGTGGAAGTCATTCATCACCGTCTGCGAAAGTAAGACTGTATTGGAAACAGCCTAACCGACAGTCATATTATCGATTATGAGTGAGAATCTCACATCTCAGGTAGTAGAGACATAGCTGGAGTAAGAATTCCAAAGTCGATGGTACGAATCATGTCAGCACTCAGATGACCATTCCACTTTTAACACTCTTCGTCTAACCTTATAACCTAATCGGCTCTCTGTACCACCTGACGAACAAGAATTATTCACCTTTGAAGGTATCAACTGACTACTTCTTAATCTATAACCAACCTCAACCAGGCGACCTACACCTCCCAACATGACTGACTCAAGCGAACAATCGAAGACTACGTGGACTGGAGTTGTCTTTTCATATGACCACCTGTCTAACTCTTTTCCAAACTAATCTGATATCAGCTAACATTGTTCATCAATGAGGAATGAGATGGCTTGGAATGCAGAACACGCGTCCAAGACATCTCAGTTAATTTAGCTACTTCACAAACTCATCGATTGACTTTGCGTCCTTTCTTCCTTGTGTAAACTCAATATCTCCCACTATATTATACCACTTAACACGGAGGGAAGGATGTAAATATGTCTGGTCAAATGTAGCTAGCCTTTTCATAACTTCCACTTACAATGTTCACGTCTGACAGCCAGAAATGAGGACAGAGCGATCTACAATGCAGTACACACATCCTTTGATGGATAACCGGATGTCATGTCTTCGTCAGAGATAACCTCAGTTGTCAAGTTTCATAAGAGGCTGAGGTTTCATCTGCACTTAGTCTGTATGGACCGATATCGATCCCTAATCAAACTTGAAATGAATCAAATGGCTTGAAGATAAAGAAATTTATGGGATGGTAAATCAAACAATCAGTATAAAACAAGAAACATTTTATATCAATAATCTCAATGTGTTACACTATTTATCTAAAAATTAACCATAAAAGAAACTAGGATCGATAAAAATAAGAATCGGGTGAGAGTAGAGAAAGTCTGTTTGTACAGAGATTCATTTTTACTGAAATATATATACACATAAACACCCACTTACAGTTTAAGTGAATCTTAATGTGGAAAATTTGAAATTTTCAATTGTGGCGGGAAAAAATTGAATCTTGAACGTTAATGGTTCAATGAGTAGAGTTTTCAGAGTTTGAAATAGGAAAACGATATATACATATTTATAAAGAATAACAAAATATAAGATATAGTGGTGTAAAGATGAGGCGGTTTATTAATTAATTGATTAATTAATTAATTATTTATTTATTTATTTAATTAATGAATAATCTAATGGACTCTCTGTATTACTTGACGCTGAAGAATTATTCGACACCGACAACATCAAGTCATCCTCCATATCTAACAACTGATGATTAGGTGTAGTTGAGTACTTCTGGGAAGGGACAGATTGTCTATTCAGAGAGTCATATTCTCTATGATTATCATCTGTGATCTTCCCTTCTGAGGTGCTTTTTTCGTCCTCACCATCACCATCGTTGTCGTTGCCGTCATCACTGTCACAAGTGGCGTTCTGATGTGATTGGTCATCATGATGATTTTGATGGTCAATCAAATTGGCCACATTGAAGCTGGCATTCATCACACGTGGTTGAGAATGTTCCTGTGAAAGTGTCTGATTGGATGAATCACTCCGAGATTTCTCATCATTCCCATTACAATCATTGTGGCCACAACTGAGATGAGTCGATTGATCTGATCGCCTAGTCTGTTCATAGGATGTCAAGTGATCCTCAGAATGTGGAGTAACTGATGATTGACTGTTGTTGTGTAACAGGTGCATTAAATTAGCATAGAATAAATCTGTCAATGTGTCATTGACATTCTTCAATGTGCTGGTCGGTGGAATATTGATTTGTGATGGAGGATAGAAATACTTGAGGTGTTTCAGTGTCTCCAGTGTTGCCTTCAATTCATTCGATGTGTTCATTCCGACTGTTTGGAATGGAGTATTGCAGGTGAATTCGGGTGTATTGTGGTGTTGGAGGTGTGTGGTGTTAGTGAGTGGGATATTGAATGACTGATTGACAATGGGAGACATCATATTGGATGTCTGGTATGGGTGATATGGATTGAATGGTGTGGTTTGTGATGAATCAGACCCGGTTGTCTGTGTGGTACTTCTGTGTAGTGAATGTGTAGATGGATGATGTGTTGTTGTCATTAGTGACGGTTGGATTGTCTTCACAGATTTGGGTACATTTGAAGGTTGTTTGGTAGTTCGTCGTGAGATAAAGTGAGCTGATGGAATTTGAGAAGTGATTAGAGAATAACGACTGGCTTTGTCATTCACTCCCATCTCTACACCTATCTTCTCCTCACCGTCGTCTCCATCGGCTCCCTCCTCGTCATCATCATCAGTGTCGTCCACATCGTCTCGATCACCAGGACGTGTCAATCCCAATGCTCGACGTACCTTCCTCTGTGCTCTTCGTCTTCTGAAATCACCACTGAGAAAATCTTTCAAGTTGGCTGGATGTATTCCCCAGTAGTGTCCTTTTCCATTGGCAGCTCTACCTGTCATTATCGAAAGACAAAATAAAACACAGACATGACAATAATGATTCCATGAGAATAGTGTGAGTTCTTTTAAAGTAATGCCTAGACACTTCAATTTCACATCGTGAGATCGACAGATCCATCCAACCTACTTTGAAATTTGCCACGTCTACACTCTATCTGTGTGTGTGTGTGTGTGACTTATTTGTTGACTACAAAATATCGCGTTATCATTTACAAACCATCAAGTGACAAGTTGAACATCGTAATGAATGGTGCCCTTTCTACTGGTGTCTATATATCTGATGTTGGTGCACTCATGTGTTAGTTGGCTTGTCATAAAATGGCCCCGCACAACTCAATCTGAATCTCAGAATGTGTCATACAGTGCCACATAGAGCACGTCTCTCTTTCGGTCAATTCTGTTCTCATTGTGTTGGATGAATTCTCATTGACTATAGAGGTATCTACCTACGCCACTGTGTGGCTACATGGAAGCGTCATTAGTGTCATTCTCTTGCTCCCTTTAACCTGCGTTCATTAACATTGGCTATTTCCTTCTCCAGAGGTAGTGGAATGATGAATACAGTTTTGAATGGAGTTTACTATTTGTGATATGAGTGGTATTCAAGTACTACTTATATCAACCGATCAATCAATCGATCAGTTAGTAGTATATAAGGCGTCAGGCTTTTATCGTCACTTTCCTGACTGGTAGTTTTGTTATCAAGGAGATCACGTATTCAGTGTGTGATGTGAATAATCTCGATCCTTAATGGAGACTGTAGTGAAATGATGCCATGGAGTGTGTATGTCAGCTCTTGCACAGCTGAATCAGTTCAACAAAAATGCCTTGAGTAGTTCAGCATACTTCCTCAACAATCCTTTTCAGGAAGTGAAATGATACCTTAAGGATAGGAAATACGGTAAGTGTTGGCCACCGTCAGGTGTGTTTGTATTCAGAAATCTGTAGGAAAATGAAGATATGTAATTTAATACACCCTCATACACGGTTTAATCCTACCTGGTTTTCTTCAGTTTGCTTAATTTGAGACTGTTTTAGTCTTAGTATGATGATGGAACGTAGAATCGTATGCCTTACCATATTCAGATCTAATTCGCAATCCTCCATTTATTCAGTTTCGGATGAAGTGAAACCACAGTTTCCTTTGGAAGCCGAAATTATTCAGATCACTGAGTGTATATGCGATCTGCTTGATACCACCATAAATTGTAATCAAGAAAGCAGACTATATACTACTGATTCATGGAGATGAGTAGTGCTTGGACACCACTCAAATCAAGTAGCGCTGTGCTTAGCTAGGTAGCTAGCCAGAATCCCGGTGGTGTGGGTCTCAAATGAACTAGATGGCCGTTCGTTGTCCAGATCATTTGAATCTGGCTGGCTAGCATGTACTACTAATTTGATTGCACATTAGTTAGTAACTGACTGGTGTAATGTGTCTAGTCCTATCTTTGGTGCAGACTGAATTCTGTCAATCAGTCAAGCTTGCAATGTGGCCACCATGCTACTAGGTGGCTCGCCATTATGGTGCACTGTGAATTGTTAGTATTAGATGGTTGGAGGTAGTCGGCCTCGGGAAGCCTTACTTCACCTGGGTTTCGTGCTAGTTGTTGCCACTGATCAGTCAGTTAGTGAGGCCTATCTGCAACTACCTTGAAGGAATTCGTTTCCCTTCGGAGAGAGATTCAAACCTGCGTCACCATGATTTCCTTCAAGGCAGTTGCAGATACGCCTTACTGACTGACCGATGAGTGCCAACTAGCCCGAAACTCAGGTCAAGCAAGGCTTCCTGTGGTCGATCGCCTCCAACCATCTAAGCACTACTATTTTCAAATGACCCTTATACATTTTTCAAAGGAAATGAGGGTGTCGGAAGTATTCTGCAAAATGGCAGCGTGTTCTTGACTGAAGACCAGAAGACATCTGATGACATACAACCAATTACCGATTTACTTGAAAAATGTTTTATCCTGCAAAATATTACTGCATACGAATGTACAATAGGACCATACTACTAATAATAGTAATAAGTGAAATTTGAATGAAAAAATTGGGGATTCTTTAGTGTAGTTGTAATTACGCATTTGAGCAAGTGGATAAATGACCTCTAATGTCTAACTGTCAACTTTCAACCCCTAGTCATACTCAAGTGACTTAAAAATGACAAGGGAGTCATCACTACTTACACAATTCAGTCTGACTGCTAAAAAATATCTGATTCAACAGTCTTTGAGGAATAGTAAAAGGGGGTACTCAATTAGGCGGGAGGTGGGTGATGGTGGAAATAATTAACTTACCAACTTTAATAAAACAATCATTCAATGATAGATTATGTCGAATTGAATTACGCCAACCAGGACCACGTGTACGAAAATATGGATAACGTAGTTGGATCCATTGATAGATCTCGGAGAGTATCATACGTCTTTCCTGAGTACTCAATATTGCTTTGGCTATTAATCCTGTTTCGAATTAGATTGAAGCGAAGCGAATATTTTGGGGAAAGATGTGTTCAAGATGGTGTAAGGTAGGTTGAAAAGGGAAGAAAGAAAAAGTAAGAAAATCGTTGAGCTCAGTAGTTCATTTACTTCTCAATATGAATTGATAAAGTGAACCAAATATTTATAACAAAAGGATATTAACAAATACCTCAACTTACCCTAGAATTTCTCTGTATTCATTCAGATTTGAGTGAAGTAAGAATGCCATGATGTGGGAATATGGGATTACTCACTCCATTTGTTGAACTGTTCACTTCTGATCAACTCAAGATGCATCAGTGAGTGAATACACACTATTGGTTAACATCGAGAAAGTCAAGTTTGATCATGAAATGACATCTGTTAGACAATTACTGAAAACAAGGGAGTACTGGACTCTTCAGTAGCACGTAGTCACGCTCCCACCAGGGAATGAACCTAGTACTTTCAGATTACTAGGCGAACTCATTATCCAATCGCTCACTGGGACAGGAACCAATGGCCTACAAATATGAACCTCCACCAATTAGCGATAATATACCTCAACCCTCAGTCAGTCAATGTCATTGGTGAGTATTCGCCTTCACACTCAACTGTGTAAAGCTTACTGGTCACCACTTCTCACTCGAACTCTATCTGAATCTATATGTGTTCAATTTGATGATCAGTGATTAATAACTTAAGATTGTTGTCGTTACAATTCACTATCTGGGTGGCTGTGATTTTAGAGATTAAGGAATTTAACTTCACACCGAAATGTCTCAAGTCACGAAGTATAAGTCGAACGATACTCTACTATTCCTCATATTTCTTCTAATATAATAGTGATAAATAGATTTATTATGAAAAATGCTTTCATACATATTCCAGAATTAATTCGGTGGTTGGTGACTAGCAGTGGAATCTAGGATAAGGTGCATTTCGTCCTCTTTGATGCTCGTTAGTTTGATGTACTCGCGTTACCCAGTCAGTGATGATGTTCTCACTGAGGTTGGAATCCAGTACCAATCGTTTCATATACCAAAGAGTTATGCTGTAAACCACCTCTTGTGTATAGGTTCCAATTATTATATAATTCAATTTGGACTGAATGGAGTGAGATGTGTGGCCTCTACTGACATGCTGGCTGCTTGCACGGAGCCTCAAGGGATACACCATCACTCACTGGAGAATACACTTACAACCGGTTGACGAGTCTCGAATAGGACGAAATGTGTATCCTAGATGTGGCCACCGCTAGTCACCATGCACCAAAATTACTGTAAGTTAAATCCTCATCAAGGCATCCACAGAAAGAGCCAACATGTACACATAGGCTGAACACTTCGATTGAATTAGATAATGCCGAATTTTCAGCGAGTTTCTTTGCAAGGTATTTACTCATTGTGGGGGATCTTCCAGTAGTATAATAATCGATAATATTAATAATATCACCTGAGACAATAGTGTTGCCACCCCCGAGGAATGTTGTAGTACTACTTCACAATATTATTCCTCCCTTTCCTTGAAAGAATTCTTAGCTGAAGGCAGAAATTTACTTGAAATAGTGTTCAAGCACGAATTGTAACTTATTGATTTAGGTAGCCTAGTAATTTAAGAACGCTTCCACGTCATAATATTCCTTGTAATCACCAGTACTGGAACATATCAGTGAGAAATGTCACTGTAAGGATTGTCCATCTTTCAACCGTGTTCAGTATGGAGTCTATCGATGATAGTGATGATAGAAATACCAACTGTTGGAGAACCCCTGAAAATCAGTACTGCAGTACTGGACAGTTGTTTCGTCCTAGTTCGGAATTCATTGGCAGTACGCGACCAGCACCACTGTCACTGGTGTGCATTTGTTCTAAGTCACTACCGGAGGGGACCCCAATGTTAACTAGAACTGTAACCAGTCGTCAACGTGCATCAGGTGAATTTTCAAGAGATTCTACTTCAATTCAGATTTTCGATTATTGCTCTTTTGTAACAACAGAAGACAAGGGCCAGGCAAGCAGATCGTTTATTTAGGAAATCAACACATATTTATAGATTTTCATGCACATTATTATAGATTATTGTAAGCAAACAAACACAGTCTTATGATTGGTGGTTTCTCACTGAAAGTTAGTCAGTCTTCCATCTCTTTGTGGCTGCTGTTTCTTGAATGTCAGATCATCTATATGTTGACTGTATCCGCCTACGCAAAATCAGTCTTTGTTCTCATTTTCCTCACTACCAATATTGAGGACATAAACATTGACGTAAATTACTGTCTACCAATATGACTAGCAGCCAGCTGTCACCACGCTTTAGCTGATATATCAATCCGTGATCAAAATTGAAACCAGTCAAATCCCCACGACAAACTAACTCTCAATAATAATAAATTAACTCATGAAAATTAATCTGATGCTCGCTAGTGAGTGACTTGCTACAGGACAGGGTTTCTTGGAGTTTTAGTTAGAAGTCGTAACTAGTGAGATACAACCAATCAAGTGTGAGTACGGATTTCCCACCGATGACATTGGTTGGTGCTAGTCGTTCTAAATGCATCACGAATAGGTAAAAGTTAGAATTCATGGGTCGGACATTGAGTCGGGTCGGGTCGGGTCCCAGTGGCTGAATGGTATACGAGTCAGCTAGTTGGCCTTGTAACCAGAAGGTCCTGGGTTCGAGCCCCACTATGGTGGGTGCGTACTGCCAGTGATTCCGAAGCACTAGGATGAAACAGCTGGCTGTGCAGTAAATACTCCCTGGTTTTGGTTTTGTCAATGGTTCTCTAACTGTGATATCAATCAATCCGTGGTCAAATTCGTAAAATCAAATCTAATCCTTACAAATTAACTGTTGAAAATAATAATAACAGTTTCTTCAATGAACTTTAGTGAATTAAACTTGGTTGGTGGAACACTTCAGTTGAGGTTGTGGGAGGGGGGTGGGTGGGTGGATTCTTTTTACCCCCCATCATTTGTGACGACGTGTATGCTGATGATGATTCACAGTCTTCAACCCTTTTTATTCTTCGTAATTATTATCCTTCTGCTTACAGCATCTTTGTAAAGATACACTCACCGGTGCACATACATACTCACACACACACACACACACAGATATCGATCCATCTTAAGTGTCTTACTCCTCACACTCGATCACACACACAGACACACACACACAAGCACCGGTCAAATATACCAGCTCTCAAACAGATAGACCACAAATACAAATCTTGACTCAAAATTGCTGCATGTATATGATCCGAATTATAATTAACGGTCATTATTATTATTATTATTGATACAACCATTGAGGATATCCTTCTACATGTAAGGCCTCCATTATTATGACACCCACACATACAGTCACATGCACGCATATACACCATCAATCGCTGAATTGTGATTCAACTGGATATGAGCATTCCAATGTGAAGTGTTGACTAACTTCTTTCGAATATTTTACATAATCCATACAAGTCTGAGTAAATCAAATCAACAATTATAATAATAATAATAATTACTATTATTATTATGACTATTGTTATATATGAGTACCACTTGACCTATACTCTCTTGTGTAATCTCATCCGTACCTCTTTTATGTGTGTGTGTGTGTGTGTGCGTGCGTGCGTGGGTGTATAAAACAAAATATTACACAATGTGAATACAGCAATAAATATTCATATGAGGGAGGGATAGTGCGTGGGTGGTTTTGTTTCCTAAATAAAATAAAATAAAAACTGTTTTCTGCTATCATTTTAATTATGAGGTAGGGATACTTTCCACACCCCACCCCCTCTCCTCCTTCTTCGTTGTTCTTCCAACACCATCACCATCACCTACGCACACACACACACATACACCACACCTTATTTTCTTTGACAAAAAAGAGAACAACTCAAAAAGGATTTGAAAAGTGTAATAATAATAAATAATTATTGGCAATAATGATTGATTACGTCATCATATGCATCAGTAATAATTATACTAAGTAGGAGTAAAGAAATTGGTGAATATTGATTGATAGACGCCTAATTAATTGAGGCGACTTTATGTTTGCGAATGGAATTTTGGTATACAATGAAGACAGGGTACAAATACACTTTGATCTGTTTGAGATGGAAAGATGACCGCTGTAAAATGTCTACATGAATAAACTTCATCCATATTCTTATGCAAAAATGGGTTGACAAGACAGTCTATTAGAGAATACATATTTCCAACGAGTTGATCACGGATTGATATCAGTTAGAGAACCATTGAAAACCAGAGAGTACTAGACAGCTGCTGTTTCATCCTAGTTTGAGAATCATCGGCAGTACGCACCCACTGGGATTCGATGCTCGCTAGTGACTTGCTACAGGATGGAGTTTCCTGGAGTCAGTTCTAGTCTGTTTTCGACATAGAACTTTGCACATAAGTGCGAATTCATGACCAGTGAGGTCCATCCAGACGTCACGTGTGAGGGTGGATGTCCCACCTACGACAGCGGTTGGGGTCGCGCTAAATCACGAATAGGTAAAAGTTAGAATTCATGGGTTGGCCACTGAGTCGGATCCCAGTGGCTGAATGGTATACGAGCCTGTTTGTAACCGGAAGGTCCTGGGTTCAAACCCCTGACGGTGGATTCGTACTGTCGATGATTCTCAAACTAGGATGAAACAGCAGCTGTCCAGTACTCCCTATGTCTGGTTTTCAATGGTTCTCTAACTGATACCAATCCGTGATCAACTCGTAAAAACATAACTAACCCTTACAAACCAAAATTATAGAACATATTACTAAGGTGAATTTGTGGTAGTAGTATTATTAAGCTGGATAACATTTTGAAGAACCAATCAGTCCACTTGGTTGGTTGGTTGGTTGGTTGGTGAATAAACAGCATAACTTAGCACCTTTAAAGATCCATATGCAGGTCCTTTTCAGCTAATGCGTACCGTTTATTCACCAGTAAACCAAACAATAACTGTATTTCACGAAATAAAGATAAACCTTCAAATA